AAAGAAAAGAAAAGAAAAGAAAAGAAAAGAAAAGAAAAGAAAAGAAAAGAAAAGAAAAGAAAAGAAAAGAAAAGAAAAGAAAAGAAAAGAAAAGAAAAGAAAAGAAAAGAAAAGAAAAGAAAAGAAAAGAAAAGAAAAGAAAAGAAAAGAAAAGAAAAGAAAAGAAAAGAAAAGAAAAGAAGAAAGAAAAATAACAACCACTCAAACCTTCCTGTTCTGTACGATCAAAGGAATCCCAGAAAAGCACAGAAAACACTCTTACACCCCCAAAAACAACCCCCCCACCCTCCACCCCACCGCCCCCAATCTTGACCTCAGCCACCCCACTGCAAGGTCACCTTCCCTCCCACCGACCCCATCCTGCTGCCACACTGGGCTGAGGCCGCTCACTTCGTGACACGAGTGGCTCAAGTACACCCCGTGGGACAAACCCCCTCAAGGTGCAAGGAGGGGAGGGGGGTTTGACCCTCTCCACCGTCCTCCCGTGCCCTCCCCACGTGCTCCCGCGAGCCCTCCCTTATTAACAATGACCTTTCCACCGCGCTCGCCGCCGATTCCCCAGCCCCAAATATCTTTTAAATGGGTTTCAGGAGCTGATGCTCGCTCCGTTAAAAGCCCCCCGCATCGCCCCCGTGTCGTCCCCCCCCCGCCACGTCCCATCCCCGTCCCCACGCAGCGCCACACGCGCGCTCACACTAACATTTTAATTAATGACAAGGGCTTTTTTAAATTTTTTTTATTTTTTTTTTAATTTTTTTTTTTTTTCCTCTCCCCTCCCCTCATAAGCACTTTAATGTGTGTTCGCAGCCCGGCTGATCCCCACAGCCATGGAAATATTAGGTTGACGGATGTGGTCTGTCGCCAGTGCTCCCTCAACGGGTCTGCCTGTCAGCTCGCCGATGATGACATTAACACGGGAAGAAAGTGATGACAAATGCCCGTTATCAGGGAACGAGGCCTGTGACAAATCGCACGGCGCCTCGCGAGCAGCCCCATTACGCTGTAATAAAAAAAGATGGATGGCTCAGCGCACCGGGGCCCCGCGCTAATGCGATTTCGCCTGGTCTCTCCGGGTTCTAATTAAGGCAGAAAACGGAGAACGAACAGGAGTCCCCGGTGCCCCCCCCCACAACCCGCTCCCCACAACTCCCCCCTACTTCAAACACCCCGCGGCGATGGGCGCTCGCCCTCAGGGATGGTGCCCTTCTGGCCACTCCACCCCAGACCCCCCTGAGGAGAGGGGTCTTGGGGGGATGCAGAGAGATGAGGGGTGCAGATGTTGGGGGGGGCTTTTAGTAGAGGCGGGGGGCTGGGGGGACACCCCCAAACCTGTGTCCGCCCATCCTAATTTTGCCTGGTGGGCTCACAGCTCCTCCATCCAAGGAGAAGGGTCTTGGGAGGATGCAGAGAGATGAGGGGTGCAGATGTTGGGGGGGCTTGTAGTAGAGGTGGAGGGCTGGGGGGCCACCCCCCAACCTGTGTCTGCCCATCCCACTTTTGCCAGGTGGGCTCACGGCTCCTCCATCCAAGGAGAAGGGTCTGGGGGGGATGCAGAGAGATGAGGGGTGCAGATGTTGGGGGGGGCTTTTAGTAGAGGCGGGGGGCTGGGGGGACACCCCCAAACCTG